TAGGCACAACAGATCAATCTTAATCGAGTACAAATGACTTATCATCGTCGTGACAACGATGTGTATGACGTGCTTAATGGAACACTGGTACCGGGAAAGGTAGGGTTCGACGGGAATTTATAAGACATATACTTACTTTTAGTAAATTAAAGCCCTCTAGTCCAAGTAGCTGTTTTAACGCTCTTTGTTTGTCGAGTTTGTTTACATTAAAACGCAGAAATGCTTCACGATCATTTGGAAGCATTTTTGAAACATCATCCCACTCTTTCTCCGTAGGTAGTCCCATCGTTTGGAATATGCAGAGAATTTGGTCTATCCTTGAGTCACCGGGAAACAGTGGGACCCCGGTAGACATTTCCGCGAATATGCAGCCCAAAGACCACATGTCAACGGCGCAATTGTATATGGAGTCGTTAAACAGAATCTCAAGCGGATAATACCACAGGATCTGCAACATTTAATAATTAGACAGTAGCCTCAGGTGGATAGAAAATGGAATGTTTTACCTCAAGCTGCGTCCTTATGTGTGCACAACGAAATGGCATGCATAATTCAAAGTATGCCAGTTTTACATTCCCTCCAATAATATCAACCATAACATTTTGTGGTTTCAATCTACGATGGATTATGAGCCTTTCGTGGCAGTACTGGAGGGCTTGAAGCAGTTGGTACATGAAGGACTATTTGAAGTGTAGCCGCATTTAGGCTCATACCTTGACAGTTTGTGAAGGCAGTCCAGTGTTCTTATTATGAATATCCATGTAGGTTCTCAGATCGAAATGCAAGCACTCATATATCAAATATGTTTCACCGAGATCAGCGATTATTTGCTCCAAACTGGACAAGCTAGTTAAACTTGGGACTTACTTCGCAATATTCGGATGGTTCAGCTTTTTAATTTTCGTAATCTCATCAACTTCATTTGAAGAGATTCCATAACGGGACCTTGCAATTTTGAGTTGCTGAACGGCGTTTAGACGCCCCGTTTTTTTATTGCGACATACAGTGACAGGGCCATTTGAGTCTAGAATAATGACTAAGCGTTTGCGCAATACCTTCAGCAACTGCAGCAACGGGATCAAAATCTGTAAGACGATACATCGACACGCCTTCCACGGAAAATGAACCAAGTTTAAATAAACATCGTGTGTAGTTGATCGGTCATAAAGGTCGCTTCAGCCCCAACTAACAAAAAGCTTAAACTAGGCTTGGATTTACTTATGCCATTCCTTGTGATTCTTAAAACATTTTAGTCAGAGCCACGAAAAATTTTCCAGCAACATAAAATGCTCCACCAAATAAATTAACAGTAGGGTAGGGTTTCAACATTGCAAGCGATTTAAGCAAAATCCAAAGTAACTACTCAGTTGTCTCATTTTAGTCATTTGTTAAAACAGTTATAGGGCGATTTGGTTTCCCTGGTTTACTTCTACAATTGTGAATCGCTATTACCGCACCTCTATTCTGAATTATCTATTTAATCAGGAACACGTAGTTAAATTGCCCATGCATGCTAGGTGTTTGAATAACCCTTGTAATGCTTTGTTTATGCGACTATCTGACGTTTGGCGGTCACTTTAGGACTGGTCTGGGCTCTGTGCACGTTGGCTGGCTTTCGGGCCACGCTCAGGCCCCATTTCTCCTAATGCTTTCGGAATACATGTATTCAACCCCACTTATGCCTTCTACTACCCCATTGGAAGCCTCGGGACGCTACAGCCCTTGCGAGAGCTCAATAATCTTTTCCTCTTTCCTTTTATCTTGTATCCTTTCTTTATTTCAGCGCTCCGAGACTTTCCACATGGTATAAAAAGACAATAAATCAGGCTAATTGTTTGTATTTCTGGAAGACAAAGAAGAAAGCGGGCCTCGCTTGGCTCAACATCAGCCCAAGCATATAACAGCAGGACAAAATATCATACGGGCGATAACAAACTAGGTATTGCGTCGCTCCTTTCTTCTTTTATGTGACGTTCTTGGCGACCAACAAATTCGGTATTGCCCGGAAACATCCACGAGCCAGCCATGAAAGTCATCAGCTACCATGAAGGTGAGGGTATACACTGGATCTCCTCGGCAGCTTTAACCGAATTTGAAGTTGCATTCATCTTAAGGAGACGAACCGTATCGAGGACTTTCCGTTGGCTATCTATCGTGTCCGGGTTTAGCCGTCGGTGCATTGGTCTAAAGCAGATTTTTAGAAGCACGACTGACCTTAGGAAACTGCACTGTTTGAATCAGTAAAATTAAAGCGCTACTTTTCATTGGAGAGAGGAAGATGCAATGACCTTATTGGTGCAATAAGTGAGGGAATTGGAAGAAGAAGTGGGTATTTATTTTAGTCGATATCAAAGGAACCAACGATGGAAGGAACAGAAGAAAAGATTCATCCAATCATGTGCACAATTGTGTGGCAGTGATTGTACTAGCCCAGAGGTCAGCAACGTTAACATAGTAAAGCAGAGTGAAGGCAATGACAATAGTTATGACCTGGTTCCCATCGCGACAGGAGCATTCAAATATCAAAGCGATGCATTAGTTTCAAGAGCTCCTTTGCTATTGGCGAAGCCACACATGGAAAAGTGGTGCTGACGACCGTTCGCATTCAAAATTCGACCTCTAGGCACCAAGTGTTTCCCAATAGCAGATGCACTTGACATAATTTGAATGTCTATCAAAAATAAGCCCATTAAGCGGTTTGCAATCTTCAAGCACCCAAACACAAATGAAGAAACTTTAACCATCCATCAATGGTCAGCTGAAGGTGAATGAGAGAACTCGGCAGCTTTGGATGTCCATCACAGTTGTTTGCCACAGTTTAACCAAAATTTTTAAGCGCCTTAGTACAAAATAAAACGCTAACCCATTCAGTACTCCCTAAAATCAACTATCTTGATGCGAAAGCTGTCCGACCATATATGTTTTGCGATGTTATCAACGCATTCCGCTCCTTTCTCAATCTTCGCTTACCAGATGCTTTGGCCAAACCCCTTACGCGCTGCAACAATACATACATTCGCCTTTACCTATTGCCATTTTATTAGCATCAAATTCATGGAATGCGCACTGTTTGGCTGCTCTTTTACATTCGTCCTTCTCAGTTTTCTTAATGAATGGAGCAGAGGTATAACGAGTCGCTAGAACCGTTTCCACTGCTGTTTACGCTTAGGTTTGCGTGGGAAGGGTTGGTACTGTTAGCCCAAATGTCAGGGCATTCATTGTCAACGAAATTTAGGATTGTGTTTAGAGGGAAATTACCTTTCCGTTTGCCCAAGTTCCAAAGCATTTTTTGGATGGTTTACCAAAGTGAAGTTGAAGCTTTGCGAAACCGCTCTTAGTGACTTGTTTGTCGTCATTCGGTCAAAAACTGCTCAGTCGTAATATGAATTTTGTGGCATGGATATAATTGGGATTTGATCTCTAGTAAAAATTGAGACAAGATAGATAGAGGAGATTGCAATCATAGCAATGCTTTGCCTTTTCAAAGGCATGTAATCGATGCCCTTTCTATCAGCACTTGTTTGATCTTACCATTTTTGCATAGGTATTACCACGGTCACTTGCATTTCAAACATCCTCAAGCACATCAATAATTTTTGTTGCAAAGAGAAACTCTGCAGCACACTAACGGTTAGTTATTTTCCTTCGGAGTGCAGATTGCTGGATGTCCGTGAATTACTCTACTGCATTAATTATTTTAAGCTCTCAATTTAACGGAAAACTATAATAAAAGAAAGGGATCAGCCAAATGAGACCGAGAGTCATCTGGGAAGATCCATGCTCCTTTGTTGTTCCATAAAGTACCCGCTAAGACTTTAACAATTTTTCGGCTTAGGATCATGAGCGCATAGTCTTTATTTTCTTTCACAAAAATTAAACAAAATCACCGAAATGTGTCCACTTTGTGTCGCTCATGGTTCACAAGATTTTGGCGATTATAAGCCCTCTCGAGGTCGCTTCCTAAGCATAATGACTGCGTCCTACGCGAGGTTTTGCATCTAGCCGATGCTGACTGTTGTTAAGACCTTAGGAAGAGTGCGGTATGGAGTGCTTTGCTGAGTAAAATTTTGACGTTTTCCATAACTTAGTTCATTTGCAGTAACTATGTTCGCCCATAATAGGCTGGAATTGTGTCAGGGTTTTGGTTTAAAGTTTCACAAAAAGCATTTAAAGAATTGATTGCTTTCCACCCCTTTTTAGATTTCTGCGCCTAAGATCTAAATTCGTTCATTATGTGATTCCGAGAGGGTGTAGAATATGTCACTGCATGGAGGAAACACATTATATAAAGAATTATATGCAAGTGAAAAATAAAATTGCCTCCTTCCAGCGCATTGTAATCTACTTGTATTTCACTCGTCGTTGGGATCGAGTTTAACGTTTGCCTGTCATTATTAGCAGAGACATAACGGTGCCATTTTATTCAGTCAAAAATGTTTACAAGGATCAGATTTAATTGAATGGAACAACATTATGGTGCTTAATTATGCAGCCGATTCCACACCATGGGTCTTCTACTCATCAGTTTTTAGATTCGAGCACACTGGTGTGCATCAACATGGTCGCGGAAAGTCAAAGATACCGAACGGACTTTCCAAAGTTTACCACTTTAATGAGAGTAAAATGATTTCTAATTAATAGTGAGCGACCGTGTCTTGGTTGTCC